AAGCTCACCAAAGGAGACACACAGAGGCAAATAGCACAGGACAGGATGTTCCTTACCATATACCATCAGGAAAGTGCCAACTAAAGCAACAGTGATATGTCATTATGTACCTGTGAGGGTGACTGAGATCTAGATCTCTGCCAATACTCAACACTGGGGAGGATGGGGATCAAGAGGAGGTCCCATTTGTTAGCAGTGGGACTGTGCAATGGAGTGACATTCTCAGTAGGTGGATGGACAGCTTCTTATGAAACTAAACTTCCCCTTATCATGTGACAGAGCAGCCACACTCCTTCATATCTACCCAAAGGAGTTACAGGTTATGTCCTCCTGAGACATCAGCATGGATGTTCACTGCAAGTTTGCACAACACTTGAGAGCATCCAGGATGGTCCCGGGCAGATAAGTAAACTGTGTCCAAAAAAAGTAGGATGTTATTCAGTACAGGGGGGAGGGGAGGGGGAGAAACAGGACTTTTAGATGGATGTTGCTAAATCAAAGAAGTCAATCCAAAAATTCTACGCACTATGTAATTCTAATTATATGGCACTGTGGAAAAGATACAACTGTTGAAGCAATACAAAGAACTGTGGCTGGACCAGCAAGATGGCTCCTGGGATAAAGACACTGCCATACAAGCCTGGTAACCTGGATTCTTTTCTCAGAACCCACAAAAGGGTGGAAGGAGTGAACTGAGTCCATAAAGATGTCCTCTACACACACACACACACACACACACACACACACACACACAAACACACACACATCCATGATGTGGCATATATATATATATATATATATATAAACACACTGATGATGATAAAATATGAAAGTAACTGTTTTTGAAGATCTGCTGTTGCCAAGGCCTGAAAGATGGGCAAAGGTCAAGCATAGAGGATTTTAGGAATATGATACTCTTGCACAAAGTATATGTGGTTACATATGTCAAAGTCCACAGAATGTACACCATCAAGAATGAATCTTCACATAGCCTATGGATGGTGAGTGATAAGATGTGTCAATATGGCTTTGCCAGTTCTAACAAGCGTACCACTCTTGTGGAGGAAGCTGATAATGAGGATAGCTATGAAACAAACTAACCTAAGGAAAGAAAATAAGTCAGGTATGGGTGGCACACACCTGTAGTTCTAGCACTTGGAAAGTGAAGACAGGGGGATGAAGAGCTCAAGGCCGTTCTGGGTACTTGAGTCCCTATTGGGGTTGGGGAGCGGGGAAGAGGAGACAGAGACCAGAGACAGATAGACAGAGAGAAAAAAGGAAAAATGGATGAATCTGAAACCTAAACCTTGTACCTTATGAAAGTTAACTCATGGGTCATCATGGAATTTAAATATAAAATGTTAAACTTTAAAGATTTCAGGAAAATAGCATTTTAAAAAATCTCCAGGACATAGAGCTAGGCAGAGCACTTAGGCTTAACAGTAGAAGAACTATCTGCAAGAAAATAGATACACTGTGCCTCACTAAAATTAAAATGCTGTATTATGTGAGACCGTATTTTTTGTTTTGTTTTGTTTTGTTGAGACAGGGTTTCTCTGTGTAGTCCTGGCTGTCCTGGAACTCACTCTGTAGTCCAGGTCAGCCTCAAACTCAGAAATCCACCTGCCTCTGCCTCCCAAGTGCTGGGATTAAAGGCATGCGCCACCACTGCCTGGCTTATTAAGAGGATGGAAAAATAAGCTACAGAACAAGGAAGCCTGTACGAACCACAATTTGACTTCTAGACTACATAAAGGACTCTCAAAAGCAAACTCTCAAAACCAACACTAAAATAATAATATTTATAAAACAAGCAAAAGATATTTCATCAAAGAGATTATTTGTCCATTATCCACAGGAGATAACACTCCTAGACCCTGGTGGCTGCCTCAAAGGAGGGTAGAAATGACGGGTTACACTGACCTAGCATTGATTCTGCTCTTTGATATACAGATAGACCTATGATGAAGTTTGCTTAAAAAGTAGTCAAGAGAATAACAGTAACTAATAAAAAAAAAAACAATTACAACAGCATACTATAGTAAATGTAATGACTAGTTTCTTTTTTGTTTTGTTTTGTTTTTTTGAGACAGAGTTTCACTGTGTAGGCCTTGGCTATCCAGGAGCTTGCTCTGTAGACCAGGGTGTCCTTGAACTCACAGAGAGCTACCCACTTCTACCTCCAAAGTGCTGAGATAAAATCTGTGCACCACCACCACCCAGCTCATAACTGGCTTATTTATTACTTGTGTGTGTACACCTCTCTCTCTCTCTCTCTCTCTCTCTCTCTCTCTCTCTCTCTCTCTCTCTCTCTCTGTATATCTCTGTGTCCAGTTATGGTGCAGAGGCCAAAGGAGGCCAGAAGAGGGTACTGAGATATCCTGGAGATGGAGTAACAAGGAGGTTGTATGCTTGATATGGGTGCTGGGAACTACCACCCCCCCAATAAAAGCAGCAAATGCTCTTAATCTGTCTCCAGACCTCAATGATCTTATTGTACTGTGTGTGTCCTCCGTGTGACGGTGTAGGATGATAGTGTCTACAGGATGACTGGAGAGAGGTGCATGGTGGCACTGTGGTGTCACCTTGGGCTGCTGTGAGAGGACAGCTTGAAGACAAGCAGCAGTATGGTTGGTCTGACACCTGAGATGGCTACTAAGTGACTAACCAGGTGACCTGTGCAGCTCGCATAGCGACTCCAGTGACTGCTATCCAGTCCCAGAGAGTTCTATGGATGCTTCTCAGATGCAGGAAACTTAACATTCACCATGTACTGGTGGGCCAGTAAGAAGGCACAGCGACTGGGAAACATGGTGACCGGGACAAATCTTTACCAAACATGCAATCATATGAGCCAGAAATTGAACACTTGGGTGTCTATCTCAGAGAAGTGAAAATGCACACACACACACTCATACACGCTCACTCTCACACATATATACTCACACTCACACATACACACACTCATACTTATATACACTCATACACATACAACACACATACATACATAGACATACATAGTCACACACTTACACACTGATACACATACTCACACATACATACACACACACACACACACAGTGCATGCCTGTACACAAATGCACAAGGCAGCTTCATTTGGAATAGCCAAAAATTAGAAATAAAACAAATATGCTTTGGGGCGGGGGATGACCTGAGAACTGGATCACATCTTTAGGGCATGGACTACAACTCCACAGTGTCAGAAAACAATACACAGTAGCTGGGGCGTATTGCAAGAGCATTCTACCCGCTCAGAAAACCAGTTCTGCCAGTTCTAAAAGATAACACACTGTCTACCCTATATCTATAATATTCTAGAAATGATAAAACTGTAGAATAGTATCAGTTGCCAGAGTGGGCGTGGCTATAAAGGGCAGCAAGACCAGTCTGGCTATGGATAGGCTCCTCAAGCTTGGCCATTTCAGTGTCTTCCTGGTAAAACTGTGGAATAATTTTGTAATGCCACCCTTGAGGGTCTGTCTCTCTTTGTACTTTTAAAACGATACATAAATTTGCCACTATCTTAAATTAAAAAGCTAAAATAAATAAATAAACAAATAGATAAGTAACTAACAAGATGGCTCAATGGGTCTAAAGGCGCTTGCTGACAAGTTTGATGGCCTGAGTTTGGTCTCCAGGACCCACATGGTAGGAGAGAACTGACTCCTGGAAGTTGTCCTTTGGCCTTCACGCACGTGCTATGGCATGTGCATGCCTCCACCCAGACAATAAATAAAATGCATGCAAAAAACCATTAAAGACTTGGTAGAAAAATACAGGCTTCTGGCTTCTTTAGAACAAATAGGAAAACCTTACTGCACTGGGCCCACTTTTGCCCAGGACCACAGTCAGCTGTAGTTGGTGACAGCTGCCTTCATTAGGCTACCTGTTTGCCACAGTCCTTACCTCTCCCTATTGTCTCATACCCGTGGTTATTGCTTCTGGCCTGCCATCTAAAATTGCTGGATTTTGCCACTTTATTTTTTTCTTTATGAATTAATATTTTCCTGCCTGAGGAAAAAAATCTTCCCAGATTGATTGGAAAAAAAGAAGTGAGAAAATACACCTTGTATTTTCTTTTCTTTTTTCACGCCTTGTATTTTTTAGATGTGTGTGTGTGTGTGTGTGTGTGTCCACGCAGGCTCACTGTGTGTAGGACACTCTTAATCCTAGATGCCATTCTTCAGATACTGTCCCCCTTGTTCTTTGAGACAGGATCTCTCACTGAAACTAAAACTTTCCCAGGGTGCTTGGATCTCCACCTCCCCAGTGCTGGGATTAAAAGTGCATGCCGTATCTGGGTTCTGTATGATTGTGTGTGGGTTCTGTAGGATTGAGTTCTGGTCCAAATACATGGGGAGCACACACTTCAACTAAAGTGTTCCCCAGCTGCAGGTTGCTTCTTAAACCTAAGAAAAATCCAACCAAAGAGGCCCATACCATTAATCCAAAATTTTCACATTCTGAGATAATGGGAAAGTGTCTCTGCCTTTGTTCACCAGGGCACTAAGCTAATATCCTCAAACTTAAATAATGGCAAGACTTGGATATGTATTATTAACCCAGACTTACATGATGAAAGTTGAAAATCCATTCTCCAACTGTGAAAACCTCGTCTGACTCAAAAACAACTATTTGCATTAAGTCAGCTCCTGCATTCCTACATTTGCGAATCATTTTAATCTCTGCCTAATCCCTGGAAGCTGCTGAGTAGATACCATCTGGAAGAAACATCACAGTTTTTAAAGCACAGGATAAAAAGGAGCGCTCAGGGCTACTGAAGTACTAAAGGAATTCTGCAAATGTAATGAAGGAATGGCTCCACAGGTACAAATAAATACGCGACATGGATCCAGGCGGAGGACATGTTGTCCTTTGCCTCTCGCTGGAGCTGGAGTCGAGATGTTCGGGGGCTAGTGTAGTCTTGTCAGCAAAGAGACCTGCGTGGCAGGAGGCGGGAGAGAGCTCCCTGAACCCACCTGGTGGTCCGAGGTGCTGTTCCCGTTGCCCATGGTGACTCAGGGTGCCCAGCGTCCCTCAGAGTGTTGGTCAGAGTGACTGGAAAAAGGGCATAAACACCTGGAAAGGGAAGGAGAGCTGAGGTTTTCTCTTCTGCTCATCTCCCCAAACTCACAGCCAGACAGCGAATGTTTATCTCTTCAGCCACATCATGGAAAATCACTTTGGAAGGACTTTCTTTTGCAACATGCCACCCAGACATCTTTCCCAATACGGGCTGGCGTTTTCACTCCCCGCCCAGGGTTGGCTGCAGCTTCTGAAAGGCAAGTTTGTTCCTGAATCTGAGTTAGCGCCAGCGTGCACACGTATGCACATACACAAGTGACAACCTCCCTCCTCCACCCACAAATGCCAAGTAGCCTGGGGTACACCGCTCCCAGGAGGGTTTTCTGTTTCCAACTGTACTCAGTTTGGAAACTCAGTGCTGCTGCTTTCTCCCTGTTGGTGACAGCACAGCCTGCTGTCAAACATTAGGAGTGTGAATCTACTTCTCTCCAACACGGTTTTCCTCCTTCTTCCCTCTGAACGCTTGTTTCATCCACTCGCCTTCACTTCTGTGCATGTGGGCTCCTTGCTGAGGGAAATGGTGATCTGGGGGCCAGGCTAGGAATAGACACTCATATGAAGCTGCCGAGAGGCATTCGGTGACACATTAACAATCCTCCTAACTACATAGTGTGTCCTAAACAATTATCAGAGAGGCACTACCCCTTGCCTGACATTACTTGCTAGATTTCAGGGACCAACCTGGCATGCTTACTTTTTTTCTTTATGGAGAAGCCAAACCATAGAAACTTTAACAATCAGACACCTTTTAAAAGCTGGTGCCTTAGAGACCACCCGACACATGCAGTGGGGAGAACCAGAGTTCAACCCCCAGACCCCATATAAAAAGTCTGTCAGGGTTGTGTGCATTTGTAATCTGAGCGAGCAATCCTATAGTAAGACAGGAGGCAGAGGTAGAAGACTGGAAGGAAGCTGGCAGACCAGCTAGCCTGGAGTGGGAGCCCCAAAACAAGAGGGACCTTCTCAGCCTTGAAGTGGTGAGGAGGATTCCTGAACGTTGTCCTCTCACCCCCTAGGAGTGAGTAATAGCAGGAGTATGTCTTCAGGCGTGCATGTGTGTGTGTGTGTGTGTGTGTGTGTGTATGCACACAAACAAAAAAATAGAAATCAATTCATTAAAAAAAACTTAAAAACCTGTTGGCTTGCTTAGTCAACAAACAGGGAGTAACCAGTACATGCTATGCATTCTGAACAATCATTGACCAATAGAATATAAGTACTGTGAGCAGGTCCAATTAAAATGTGTCTGGGGACCAGGGGTGTGGCTCAGTGAAAGAGCCCTTGCCTAGAATACACAAGGCCTTGGTTCAATCCCCCAGGACTGCTAAAATGAAATACTTCAAAATGTATGGCATGGCAATGATGTCAGACTCAAGCTCGAGTGCCCTGCTCCTAACTCCTAACTCTTACGAGAATCCAGCTGCCATCAGTATCTGAAAGCATTATCGTCATACTGAGTATCATGCTCAGATCTCACTTAATATCATGACACTGAAATCACTATCAGTTTCTGGGATCAATAACTAATGTCAGATAGCTTGCTTTGCATACTTCTCCCACAAATATATCCTACTAAGCTGTAGAACGATTAAAAATATTATTTATTTTAAACTGATCGGTTCAGTTCAATTTTTATTTTCATTTTGAAGATGGTTCCTCATAAGTAAATAATGTTGCTAGAACCATTATTCTCTAATCAATTATTAACTTCTGTATATGTGCCAGGCTAAAACATGTGACATTAAATTCCATACAGTCCATTGTAATATTAAACTTTTCCTTTTTAGCTTTTTTTTGAAACTGGGTCTCTCTACATAGCCCTGGCTGGCCTGGAACTCCTATGTAGACCAGGCTGGCCTTGAACTTGCCTCTGCCTCTCAAGTGCTGGAATTGAAGGTATGTATCACAACATCAAGATGAAATATTAATTTTTTATACTCGTTTCCTAAGTAAACTAAATAATTTTGTTTAAAATTATAAAAATTAGTTTTTTTTAAAGTGCCTTTGAACTCACTGTGCTGCTAAGGATAGCCTGATCCCCCTGCCTCCATCTCCTAAGTGCTGTACTGGCTTTTTAACAGACTAAAGCAAATGGCAAATCTCCTTCTGGCATAGTATGACTGAGGCAGCAAACAGAAGGCTGTAGACTCACAATGGAACCCTCCTCTGGGGACTTCAGGACAGGCCTCCTTCAGCTGCCCCAGGCCAAAAAGGCAGGCCCCCCCTACCTGTTTCCACTTACCTGCAGGGATAGTCTGCACTTCAAAGGCCCAGGGAAAGTTCGATTTTGAACAACTGGACTTTCTCCTTATCTATTCAAAAACCTGTGAGGTCTAAGCTAAGCCCTGTTCCACTTGGACAAACAGCTGTTCCCCACCCTGGTGCTGTCTTCATACCTGGACTGTGGCTGAGTTTATAGAAGCCTTCCTGCCTGGGAATCTGCACCTCCCAGCTGGTCACTCCCAGGGCCTTTATGCCGAGCATTTTTCCCCAATGGTGACATCAGCAGAGGCTCCTTTCAGGACAGGCTTATTCTAATTATCTCTGCCCCTGATTGGTCACACTTAGCATTGCTTGCTTTTGTGCACAAGATCAGGGAACAGATCTCTTTCTAGAAAGAAGTCACATGTTCACGGAGCTTCTTGTGTACACCTGGGGAAATTCCACTACAGATACTATGGAAAGACAAAGAAAACTCGTGGAAACCAGATGACGCAGCAGTCTGGCACCCGTTGGTGTGTACAGAATGAACTTACCCAGGCGTGGTTTGAGTTTCAACTAGTGAAGTCATAAAAAAGCACTGCATGACTAGATTTGCTGATAGGCAGGCGGCCTGTCCTCTGGGATGGAGAAGACCAGCAGACCTGACAGAGCTACAGGCACCCAGCCAAATAGCCTCCTGCCCACAGTCTCCTACTCCCACAGTTCCTTCACTTTTTTTACTCCCCAGATAAATTAAAACCCCTGTAGAGAACCCCAACCTGGTGACTAGACAGAGCCACTCCGGGAAACAAGCCAGAGTTTTGTCCAAGGATCTCTGGATACCAGAAAGAATACTGCACACTCCCTGGAGGTGTTTAAGGCCCCTCCAGGGGAAAGTTGGCTGCAACAGAGTTCAGTACCCTACTTTGCATTTAAATAGAGCAGAATTGTGTAGGTGTGAGCAGATGATCAGATAACCACCCCTTTTTTCAAGCTGCACAATGAAATATTATTCAGCCATAAAAAGGAAGCTTCGGTTCATGATACAACTTTGCTAAGTGTCAAAGGCTTTGAGAAATGAATGCAGACACAGCGGGCCACACACTGTGTGAGTCTACTCATTCCACATGTGGAGAATTGCTAGAATTGACAAACCCACAGGGACAGAAAGCGAAGTTGTGGTTCATAGGAGCTAGGGGGGAAATGACAGCTGAATGGGTACAAGGGCTTACTTGATGTGATAAAAGTGTTAGAGAATTAGAGGTAACAGCTCCACCGGCAACACTCAGGAACAGTATGTGCACAGAACGTCACTGAATCACTCATTTAAAATTAAATACTTAAATTTACATTATCTGAATTTCATAATTATTTTGAGTTTTTGAGATTTATAGTCGAGGGTGGCGGTGTAGCTTAGGCTGGTCTTAAACTCCTGATTTTTCTGCCTCCACCTCCCAAGCACTGGGATCAAAGGTGTACACTGTCATGCCTACCTATAATTTTTTTTTAAAAGTTGTGTTTCACATCTTCGGGTTCTGTGTAATGCATAGTTTGGGGGTAGGGAAGAATTCTAGCACGGTTGGGGAAAGGATTGAAGAATATTTCTTTTTTTGTTTTTTTTTTAAGGTTTATTTTTATTTTATGTATGTGAATACACTGTAGCTGTCTTCAGACACACCATAAGAGGGCATCAGATCTCATTATGGATGGTTGTGAGCTACCATGTGGTTGCTGGGAATTGAACTCAGAACCTCTGGAAGAGCAGTCAGTGCTCTTAACCACTGAGCCCTCTCTCCAGTCCTGAAGAAAATTCCTTTTGTAGCTATCAACACCAAAGGTATTCAGAGGAATGAGAAACAAGAATTCTTGTCTCTATACCCTTAAATCACAGGGGAATTTTTCTAGGGTAGAGAAAAACCTCATTAAGCAAAGGTCTTGTATGAGCAGTTGCAGATGAAGAGTAGAACAAGCACAAAGCACAGCCAAAGCTGGCAATGAGCGGAGAGCCGCTCCTGGTGGAAGGGGAGAAGCACTAAAGTAGCCAACTCTGAGGGACACCGGACTCTTGATTTGGGCATGCGCAGTTCCGTACATTTCCATGACATCACTTCCTTTCACTGCCCCTCCCCGCCCCTCCAGCTCTACAGCTTATACAAAAGGTGTGTTCAAGATTTTGTCAAGTGTGAGTGAATTGAAGGTTCAGAGCCACGGAGGAACGGCTCTGAGCAGGGAACCCTGGCTGAGTGACTGAGGGTAAAGCAGGGTATGCTGTGGATTTAGATGGACACAGTGGCGAGTCACCCTCTCTCAGTACTGGTGCCTAGGGACGCCTTTCTCTGCCATGAAGATTTCTGTCTTCTTCCTAAACCTTCCCGCGGTCATCTCTCAGTTAATGCCTGTGAGGACACCAGTTGAGCTATAGATTAAGGCCCACCAGTATGACTGTTATAGCTCCTCCTTCAGGTCCGTGTCTCCAAATAGAACCATATCCCCAACACCCAGCCTTTCTGAGCTCAAAATACAAATTCCGGAAGGATACAAACAAAATTTGAAATCCAACAGAAGAAGTCTGGAGCTAGAAGGCACTTGGAAAACACAGAACCAAAGAATTATAAGAAGCCTTTGGGAAGGCAAAGACACCAGCAGGACTCAGGGTAGGACAGATTAGGCATCTGCTTTGGGAGTCTAGAGGTCACCAGGCACGTGGTCTGCTTGGGGCTGCTAGGGTGGGAAGTGCCAGATGTTTAACTGGAGAGAACAGAGGACCTGGCTTGTGACAGGGAAGCTGTAAGAAAGAGGAAGGGTTGGGGCGGGGTGGTGGAATAGGAAGGTTTGCAAGGAGAGAGAGGGGGAGGGGGAGGGGGAGGGGAAGGAGGAGGGGGAGATTGTGTAATTGTCTGGGCCAGCTTGATCCTGGTGCTGAAAAATTACAGGGTCAGAGAAGAGGCTGAGGAGGACAGCACAGCCATGCAAAAGCCCCCAGGCACCTTGCCCAGAACCATGCTACAGGCAGTTGCTCTTAAGAAACAAGTACCAGCCCTGACTCTGGACCTGTACCCTCTACTAGGCAGCAGCCTAGTAGCCTTTTCTGTTGCTGTGATAGACAACCCTGACCAAAGCAGTTTAGGAGAAGGAAGAACTGATTTGGTTTATGATTCCAGGCTAATCTCCATCACATCCCATAGAGAGCAGAGAGAGAAGACAGAAACACGAGGATCCTTGCTGCTTTCTCCTCAGCCTTTCTCCTCCTGTTCTCCACTGATCAGAACCCACCGTCTAGGGAAAGGCACTGCCGGGAGGTGGTGGTGCAGGCCTTTAATCCCAGCACTTGGGAGGCAGAGGCAGGAGGATCTCTGAGTTGGTGGATAGCTTGATCTACAGAGTGAGCTCTAGGACAGCCAGGGCTACCCTGTCTCAAAAAACAAAACCAAAACAAAATACCAAAAATCATAACAGTCCCACACAGACATGCCAACAAGCTAAACTGGTATAGGTAACTCCTCATTTCCAGGGGATTCTTGGTTGTCCCAAGTGGACAGCTCAAAGAAATCAGCATACACAAGCATGTGTTACCCTTGTAAAGACTTAAAGAGGGCTTCCTCTTGCTTCAGTTCCCCTGAGAGCTAAAATCCCCAGGCACCTTGGGACCAGAGGCTTTTACCTTATGACTGTCAGTGAAGTGAGGTGACTCTTCTTCACAGTTATTACTTGATGAGGGCTCGCCATCGTCCTGATACTGTGTTTGGTTCCAATGCAATCTTTGTAGCAAATCTATGTGGTCATAGCCATCATTACTCTTTAGCAAGTGAAGGACCAGAGGCTCGCTAAGGTCAGAATGTGGCCAAAGGTAATCGAACTAGAATCCCAGGGAGGACTTTTGATCCTCCCCTATGCCTCTTTCTTCTCAGGGATTGAGTACGGGAGGTATTTCTCCAGTGTGTCTCAATCAAACATAAGATAGTTGCCCACAGAGAACATATGCTTCTACGGGTTCATCCTAAGACAGAATTTATTGACATGCTATGTCTCGGGGAAAAAAAAAAACAAATAAAAATAACCAAACCAAATCATAAAAACCAAACCAACCAAAAAACAAAATAAAACAAATAAACAAAAACATCCAAGATGGGGAACCAAGAAAAAAAAAACACCACTCACATTACTCAGGTCATTATCTGGCACACACAGGTTGTTCCATAAAGCCAAGTTCCCGTTGTTGGGATGGAATAAGGAAGCCAATTGTCAAGCAGGTCAGGACATTCAAGTTGGCCACAGCTTCAGTTGTCCCCCCTTGGACATAATATGTGGCTACTCTATCACAAGAGGGCCTCAAGTGGGACACTAGGTATTGGGCATCACCTCCTGCTAACTGCACCTGGCTCCTGGCACCTATTTTCCATCCCACTCACTCCAGCTATGGCCCTAGAGTGCAGATACCTGGTATATTCAGACAAGGGAATCTTGGGGAGGAAAATGGGCCACACTCACTGAACTGAGGGCATTTGGCTGCACAAGCCTGAGCCACTGCCCATGACCAAGGGCCATGCCAAGAATAGGCCTGATTGGACATTTACTTTTCTTATATTAGTGGTGGCTTTTGTAACTTCTCTTGATGCCACCACTCCACTTGGACATGGCCAACAATCACCATGACCATGGCTGCTGAATATCACCTCTGACATCTGCCCTGGCTATCATCAGGCACCCAGGGTTGCCACTGCCAATGTGGAAGAAAGTAAATTAATTCATAGGCCATGCTGACTACCTTTTCTTGCTGTGATAAAGTATACAGCAGGAACATCTTATGTGAAAGGATTTCTTTGTTGTGGCTTATAGTTTTACAGCAGGCAATACATAGCTGTCATTCACAGTTTAGGCTCCACCCTAAACTCAGTGACACCAAGACCTTGAGGCAGGTTGCTAGCTCATGCATTGGTAGATCTGGAAGCAGACAGACCAACAAGTGGAAGGCCCCATCCATAGACAACCTACTTCCTTCAGCAAGGTCCAACCTCTTGAATATTCCACACCTCCCAAGACAGTACCATTATCAGGGACCAAGTGTTTGAATACATGAATCTTTGGAGAATGTTTTGCATTTAAACTATAACACAGACTTTTCATTTGTTACCCCAGGAGCTGGGTCTGTGTCTCTTAAGATTGGTGAGGATCTGGATATTGAAACAGAATCTCAACAGTGGAACATCCAGAGTGCTCTGATCCTCTCTCCAATGGCAGAATTTCAAAGGGAC